AGTGGATCAGACCCCAGCAGAATGAAGTGGTCATCAAAGAAGGAGGTACTTTTCTCTAAATGGAGGAAAGAATTTCCACTTTCTTATGGCCTTGTCTAAATAACGATGGAGTTTGTGGATTCAAAAGGCTTCCATAGCCTGGGCAGCTCATGTCAAGAGCCTTGGATGGTCACTGACGTCATACATAAGAGTGTTAATTTTTAAATTAACAACAGGAGTCATTGTGCACTAACTCCCCATGCAGGACCTCTGTCCTCAATGAGTTGTATTATGATAGCTAACTGTAAAACTAGCTTAAACAATTTCTTGTGTTGTGTGCATGTGTGTGTAAACTGTTGAAATCTTTACTTAGTATAGAGTTGGTATTCTGCGTATAAAATTAATCAAAAACGGATCTTAGTGGAGAATGGACTAGGAATGGGGGAGGGAGGATAGGAGAGGTGGGAGGGAGGGGTAATCACTGTATTCCTAAAGTCATACTTATGAAATGCATGAAATCTGTATTCCTTAAATAAAAGGTTTCTTCTTAGAGATAAAATAAATTAATTAATTAATTTAAAAAAAGAGAGGGAAAAAAACCAATCCTCTCCCAACTGCTGACCTGTACTCCCTGACATTCGCTGGTCAGAATAAGTGGACAAACAGCTTGAAATAAGAGGCACTCCCAGGACTCCCTTTATTAAAAATACATTCATTAATCATGACTGTTGGATTCGCGGCTAACAACCAAGACCTTGTTCTACCCTTCACCCAGGTCAACACTCTTCTCAGCTTTCTTTTCCTTGCTTCCCTGACCTAACTTCCCACAAAATATAATGCCCATTTCCAATGGATTTAGGAGAAAATAATATTAGCAATGATTCAGTGTAATGAATTTTGCTTGATGTTTCATTTTGTCAGAATACAGATACTATAATCAAAGAAAGGGATTTTTTTAATCTAGAAAATTAAAACTGTTCTGCTTTCAGGTTTACTTAAGTCAGTTTGTAGTTAAAAGGCAAGGCACTTTTTTATTTTAAAATTTATGGAACTAACGTTATGGTGCAGCATGTTAAGCCATCATATGTAAACTACCACAACCCATTGAGCAGCGGCTGCTCCACTTTTGATCTAGCTCCCTGCTAATGCACCTGAGAAGGCAGTAAAGATGGCCCAAGTGCTTGGGCCCCTTCCACGCATGTGGAAGACCCAGATAGAGTTGCTGGTTCCTGGCTTCAGTTTGGCCCAGCCCTGGCTGTGGCAGCTATTTGGGAAGTGAACCAGTGAGTAGAAAATATCTTTCCTCTTCCTCACTCTCTGTAACTCTGCCTTTCAAGTAAAAATTTTAAGGGAGAGGAAGGGACAGAGAGACATTCCATCAAGTCACTCTCTAACTGGCTGCAACAGCCAGTATTGGCCCAGAGCAAAGGCAGGAGACTAGAACTGCATCTGGGGCTCCCATGAAGAGGGCAGTGGTCCAAGCACTTGTGCCATTTTCCACTGCCATCTCAGATGCATTAGCAGGGAGCTGGATTCAAAGTCAAGTAGCAGGTCCACTTCTGGTCCAGCTCCCTGCCAATGTGCCTGGGAAAGCAGGAGAGGAAGTCCCAAGTATTTGGGACCCTGCAACCATGTAGGAGATACAGAGGAAGCACCTGACTCCTGGCTTCAGCCTGGCCTAGCCCTGGCTGTTGCTGCCATTTGGTGAGTGGACAGGTGGACGGAAGAAGGATCTCTCTGTCCCTCCCTCTCTCTCTCTGGATAACTGACTTTCACATAGATGAATCAATCTTTTTTACAAAGGAAAAGGAAGTGGAACAGCTGGGACAAGTACTGGCACTCATACAGCATTACAACACCATAGGCAGCAGCTTAACCCACTGTGCCACAACACCAGCCCCAAGTCTAGGCACTTTATATCTATCAATAACATGCTGTGTTTTTCTTCTGCACCCAAGTAAGATCCTATACACACACATCCAGACTTGAAAACCTAAAATGAAGTTAACAGCAAACTTTATGTCTTATTTCGTATCCCATGATATGATCAAATCCAAACTAGTGACAAGTTAAAACATGTCCTGTGGCCCAGAACTACTCCACAAAGTTAATGACCACATTATCCTGGGCTTACAACTGAGAACAACTCCACAGCCAGAAGTTCACTCTTGGTGCAGATATCGAATCCCGCCTATCCAAAACCTCAGATAAGCATCAGAGCTTCTGGAGTCTCTCTAATACAAAATATCTATCGGGCTCTCCTCAGCATGAATCTTGGTCCTCAAGTCTGGCTCTTATCCAGTCCAGATTTCAAAGTGAAAAGAATCATTCCTGGGAAATTTAACCTATGGCATTCAACATAGGGTATCCTGCATGACCATCTAAAGACTTTTTTTTTTAAGACTTTTTTACCTATTTATTTTATTCATTTGAAAGGCAGAGACAGAGAAGGATCACCCATGCACTGGCTCATCCCCCTAGCACCATGCCAAAGCTAGGAGTCAGGAACTCAGTGTGGGTCTCCCATGTGTGAAGTAGGACCCAAATACCTGAGCCACCATCTGCTGCCTCCCAGGATGTGCACGAACAGGAAATCTGGAAGCAGGAGCAGAGCCGGGACTCAAACGCAGGCTCTCTGACAAAGACTGTGGGCTTCCCAAGAGACATCTTAACCACTGTACCAAATGCCCACCCCTTAATTTCTGTTTCTAATACCTCTGAACACTGATTTGGCTGAAAATAAAATAAAAATACCACCAAACAATAATCTATTGTTAATAAGAGATCTTTTTTTTTTTTTAAGATTTACTTATGTATTTGAAAGGCAGAGTTACAGAGAGGCAGAGGCAGAGTTATAGAAAGGTCCACTGGTTCACTCCCCAGATGGCTGCAACTGCCAGAGCAGTACCAATCTGAAGCCAGGAGCCTGGAGCTTCCTCCGGGTTCCCCACGTGTGTGCAGGGGCCCAAGCGTCCATGCTATCTTCCACTGCTCTCCCAGTCACATCAACAGAGAGCTAGATTGGAAGTGGAGCAGCCAGGATTCGATCCGGTACCCATATGGGATGCTAGCATCGCAGCCGGTGGCTTTACCCGCTGTGACACAGCACTGGGCCCATAAGAAATCATTTTTAAAACAGAATATGGGGAGCCAGCACTGTGGTACAATGGCTTAAAGCCCTGGCCTGAGGCGCCGGCATCCCATCTGGGCGCCAGTTCTAGTCCCGGCTGCTCCACTTCCGATCCAACTCTGCTGTGGCCTGGGAGAGCGGTGGAGGATGGCCCAGGTCTTTGGGCCCCTGCACCCACATGGGAGACCCAGAGGAGGCTCCTGGCTCCTGATCAGCACAGCTCTGGCCGTTGCGGCCATCTGGGGGGTGAACCAGCGGATGGAAGACCTCTCTATCTCTACCTCTCTCTGTAACTCTTTCAAATAAATAAAATAAATCTAAAAAAAGAAAGAAAGAAAGAAAGAAAGAAAGAAAGAAAGAAAGAAAGAAAGAAAGAAAGAAAGAAAGAAAGAAAGAAAGAAAGAAAGAGAATATGGGGGGCCAGAGCTGTGGCACAGCAGGTAGAACCACCACCTGCAGTGCCAGCATCCCATATGGCACCAGTTCAAGTCCCAACTGCTCAACTTCCGATCCAGCTCTCTAGTATAGCCTGGGAAAGCAGTAGAAGATGGCCCAAGGCCTTGGGCCCAAGCACTGGTGTGGGAGACCCAGAGGAAGCTCCTGGCTCCTGGCTCCAGATCAGCATAGCTCCGACCGCTGCAGCCAATTGGCTGAACCAACAGATGGAAGACCTCTCTCTCTCAGCCTCTCCTCTCTGCGTAACTCTTTCAAATAAATAAATCTTTAAAAAGAACAGAATATGGAGTTTCATAGACTAAAATCCAATAGAACTATTAATATACCATTATTAAGGAGACCGCCTTCAAAAATTTAAATCTTTGCTTTACATTCTGAACAAAACGCCTCTTCCCTAGTAGAGACAACCTGCAGGAATTGTTACTCCACGTTGCATGTGATAGTGGGTTTCACAAAGTTCATGATAAACAAAATCCAGATGCAACTGGCAGTGTCCTAGTTTTTGCTCAGTCTGTACCTGACTATAACAGAATACTCTGGATAAAACTTGAACTGCTTGGAAAACCTTTCTGTCAGTTCTTGCCTTACCGAGAGAACCTAAAAGACTGATTCCTGAATGAGTGACCCAATGAGAAATCATACAAGTTTACACGTAAATAACAAAAAATGTGAGACAAAGTAGTAACAACTAGTTGATGAAGGGAATTCCTAGTGATCGAGTATTTGGCCTTGTTATTCACAATACGGAGTTTCCATGCTGAATTTGACCTCTCTCATAACAAATTAAGAGAGCACTCAGGGTTGCACGTTCCTGTATGAGGATTCATTGAAAGCAAAACGCTGCCCAGGACAAAGGACAGGACAGGACAGGGTCCACCCACCTGCCCAAGCGCCTCTGAGGCGGCGACCCCGCCGCTTATCTTCCCAGGACACCAAGTCCAGCTCCCTAATCCTGCTGACCACTGCCAACCCCACCTTCAGGCTGGGAACACGACATTCCTCTTCCGTTAAGAATTCTGCCCAAGCCCTAAAACAGAACCCAGTCACATGGCTCCGCACAACAGACTTTCTGAGACGCCTGGCGAGTGTCCCGCCGCGCGCGGCCCCAGGCGCACCCGCACACACCCGCTGCAACCATCGGCTGCCCATCAACCCAAGTCTACACCCGCAGCGCTGCCAACCGTCGCACACCGCACCCGCTCCGCGGAGTTCGCTTCCGCGCCCCCTGCAAGCTGGAGGGAGCCGAGCCCACCCCGCCGAGCGGAGGAAAAGACCCCGGCCCACCGAGGCAGCACGGGGGGCGAACTCACAGCCCCCAGGTCCCCACGCGAGTCCCTTCCCGAGAGTGACGCCCTGGGGGCGACTGCAGCCCGTTCCAGTGACGTCTCACAGAGGACAAGCGCCCCTCAAAATCGTCCCCCGACGCGGACTTTACCTTCAGCTCCTCATCACCTTTTCAGACGCGGGCACGGCCCCGAGGCGACCCCTCAGCTCGCGGGGTCGGGGCGGGGCAGGGCAGGGCGCGGGCAGCAGCGGCCAGGGAGGCAGCCCGGCGCGGCGGCCCGCGGTCGGCGATCGCGCCCGGCGCCCGCGCGCAGCAGGACGCCGCCCCTTCGCACACTTCCGCGCCCCTCCGCAGCCCCCAACCCGCAGGCGTCCGGGGAGGCGGCTGCGCGGGGCCCCCAGACACTCCCCACCGCGGGAGCTGCCGGCCGACCGCAGGCGGCGAGGCCCTCCTCCCGCTCCGACCCGAGCGCCGGGCGCGGCCGCCGGGGGAGGAGCGGCCCGGGAAAAGGCGGGTCCGGAAGAGCGCGGAAGGCTGAGGCGGCGGTGGGGTGCGGTGGGGGCGGTGGCCCAAAGCGGAAACCCCAAAAGCGGGCGAAAAAAGCGGCGTCGAAAATACTGTCAGAAACACCCGGAAGACCGCGGTGACCCCGGATGCGGATAGCCAGAGGGCGCTGGGGGTCACCACTTCCGGCAGCCGCGCCGTCACGTCCGGCTCGCGCGGGGCCGCAGTGCGCTTGCGCGGGGCGGCGCGCGCCGGGGGCCCGCGGGGCGCGGGAGTGCGCGGGGTGAAGCCGGCGTTCCCGCGCGCGCCGGTCTCCTCAGGCGCCGGGAGCTCGGCGTGAGGCGTCGCGGGAGCGCGCCCTGGGCTCGCTTCCGCGCGCTCTGGTCCGCCGGGTCGGCGTTCAGAGTTGTCTTTTCCCTCAGCCGGGCGCGGGAGTGCGCGGAGTGAAGCCGGCGTTCCCGCGCGCGCCCGTCCCCTCAGGCGCCGGGAGCTCGGCCTGAGGCGTCGCGGGAGCGCGCCCTGGACTCGCTTCCGCGCGCTCTGGTCCGCCGGGTCGGCGTTCAGAGTTGTCTTTTCCCTCAGCCGGGGGCGGGAGTGCGGGGAGGTCCGCCGGGGCTGGAGCGCGCTGCCCCTGACGGCGAGTGTCCACCCGGGCCTCGGGTGTTTACTGGTTGCGCTCGAGGCGTGAGCCGTGTCTGTGGAGTAGCCTAGTGGTCGTATTGTGAGTCTAATACTTACAAAAATCTGACCCTTCTTTCCCGAAGTGACTGGTTTGTGTCGTCTTTCTTCCTGTCCGGAGGTAACTTGGCTCCAGGAACGTAGGATCACAAAGGGCACTGTGCTGACTTGTAGATTTTTTGTACTGTTTTTCTGTTTTAAGTTGATTTCTTATTTTTTTTCTACTGTTTCTCTGTTAGTTCGTTTCTTATTTTCTGCTTTGAATTGCTTTTAATTTTTGAAAGTTTTTCTAGTTTCTTACCTGGCAAGCAGATCACTTTCATTTTTGACTCAGGAGCTTTGGTAAGTGTGTTATTTAGTACGCAGATACTGGGGGATTTCTGGGTGTCTTTCTGTTGTTGATTTCTTATTTAATCCCTCTGCGGTCATAAAATACTTCACATGTCATCTGTCCCTGCTGGTTTTCTGTCTGTTGATCATAAAAGGAATGTTGGTTGTGAATGTTTCAACTTTTCAATTTTTTGCTTCATGTAATTTGAAGCTTTGCCTCGAGTTATATCGACATTTATAATTGTTCTTTTAGTTTGATGAATATATCCTTTGTGCACCTGTTATTATGAAGTGATCCACTTTATGAAAGACCATCTTCTTTCCTGTAGTATTTGATGGGCAGTAATACAGCCACTCCAGAATTCTGTAATCCAGTCTTGATGTGGTATGTTTTAAAGGAAAACATAGTTCCAGATATTCATGAAGTTCTCCAGAAAATTTGAAAAGAAAGTACTTCCTAGCTCATTCTGTGAGCCATTACTCTAATACCCAAACCTTGGATGTTCAACAAGGAAACCACAGACCAGTATCCCTCCTTTACATGGCTGTAAAAATTCTTGACAAGATTCTAGCTGTCTTTACTCCACAATATTTTTTAAAAATGATACAACTTGACCAAATGGGGGCTTATTCCATAAATGCGATGTTGAATTAGCATTGGAATATCAGTCAGTGTAATTTATCATATTAAATAAGAGTGAACAACAAAAACCCATATAGTCATCTCAATAGATGCAGCAAAACACTGGACAAAATCCCATATCCATTCCTAGGATTGCAAGGAAACACCCCAACTTGGTGGAGAACAGCTGTAAAAAGCATCATACTTAATGGTGAAGAACTGTGTTTGCCCAATGTCAGGAACAAGCGAGAATTTCTGTTCTTACCACTTTTGTCCAGTGTTGTACTGTGGGTTCTGCTGTATTCAGTAAGGCAAGAAAAAGAAATGAAAGGTACTCGAATTGGAAAGAAGTATAAGCTGCTTCTTAATTGTTAAGTGACAAGTTTTGAAAATCCTACAAAAACTGTTAGAGATTCTGTAAGAAGCTGTCAGAACTAACAAATGAGGTGAACAAGACTACCAGTTATAAAACCATACATAAAAAGCAATTGTATTTGTATTGTGCTAGCAATACAATCTGAAATTACAATTTAAAAACAGCATTTATAACAATAATATTTTTGAACTTGGGTTAAGCAAAGATATCTTGGGTATGATACAGTAAGCACTATCATAAGGAAAAAATAATAAATTCAACTTCATCAAAATTGAACACTTCTGTTCAAAAGACTGATTTATTTATTTGAAAGGGAAAGAGAGATTGGCAGACACATTGGCCATTTCATTTCCCAAGTGCCTGAAACCAGCCAGTGTTCCTGGCTATGCCATGCTAGAGCCAGGAAACTGGAACGCAGTCCAGATCTCTCGTGTGGGTGCTGGGACCCAAGAACTTTAGCCATCACCTGCTATCTCCCAGAGTGTACATTCACAGGAAGTTGGAGTTGGAAGCAGAGACGAGACTTGAATGCAGGCACTCTGCTATGGGAAGTGGGCATCTCAAGTGACATCTTAACCACTGCACTGGAAGCACCAGATATCTCAAAAAATACTTCTAAAAGAACAAAAAGACAAACCAAAAACTGAAGAAGATATTTACAAATGACATGTCTGATAACTTGTATCCAGAGTGCCTACTTTTAAAATTTTTTTCATACCTCAATAATAAGAAAATAACCCAACAAACAAATGGGTAAAATGTTCAAATGGACATTTCACCAAAGAAGCCACATGAATGGTGAGCAAGCACTCAAAAAGTTGTGCAACACCATTAGTGAATTGGGAAATACCAAGTAAAACTATAATAAGATACCATTACCGGCCAGCGCCGCGGCTCACTAGGCTATTCCTCCGCCTTGCGGCGCCGGCACACTGGGTTCTAGTCCCGGTCGGGGCGCTGGATTCTGTCCCGGTTGCCCCTCTTCCAGGCCAGCTCTCTGCTGTGGCCAGGGAGTGCAGTAGAAGATGGCCCAAGTGCTTGGGCCCTGCACCCCATGGGAGACCAGGAGAAGCACCTGGCTCCTGCCATCGGATCAGCGCGGTGTGCCGGCCGCAGCGCGCCAGCTGCGGCGGCCATTGGAGGGTGAACCAACAGCAAAGGAAGACCTTTCTCTCTCTGTCTCTCTCTCTCACTGTCCACTCTGCCTGTCAAAAAAAAAAGTGAAGTCACAAACTCTGATATACTACTACTGGAATATAAAATGGCATAACTACTTTGGAAAACTGTAAGTAGAATACTTACATATGATCCAAGTATTCCACTTCCAAGTATTTACCCAAGAGAAATGAAAGTATACATCCAGATGAAGTCTTTAAGTTTTTTTGTTTTTATTTTTGTTTGTTTTAATTTACTTGTGTGGGGAGCAACTCGGACTAGACTAAGTTACTGGAATTAAGACTTCTTCTATGCATCTGCTCTCCCACAATATGGCGCTGGGAGAGGAGGAAACAGCTCCTACACAGCTGCCTTTCACCAACTTGACAAGCTGCAGGAGCTGCTCCTGATTGGAGGAGAGCAGCGTGCTCGGCGTGTGGATAGCAGAGTTGGGATTGGTGGAAGAGGACTATAAAGGAGGAGAGAGACAACATGCACCAGGAACATCTAAGGGGAACATCTAAGAGGAACACCTGTGCAGCCCCCGAGAGAGCCGGCCGGCGGTGTGCCGCTCCCCCGCAGAAGTGGGGAAAGTGGCAGGGGGCACCGCCCTTCCACGGAGGTGGAAGGGTCGGTAGCCAACCCGGGGAAAGAACCAGCAGCAAACCCGGGAAGGGCCCGAGCAGAACAAAAAGAAACAGCGCAGGGTCCCTGTTGTCGTTCCCTCCCGTGAAAGAGGGGGAAGCGACAAACTTTGAAAGGCAGAGTTACAGAGAGAGAAATCTTCATCCAATGGTTTGCTTCTCAAATGTCCAAAATAGCCAGGGCTGAGCCAGACCATAGCCAGGAGCCTGGACCTCCATACTGGTTTTCCACCTGGATGGCCGGGGTCCAAGTACTTGGGCCATTTGCCACTGCTTTCCCAAGTGCGTTAACAGGGAACCAATCAGAAGTGAAGCAACTGGGGCACGAACCGGCACTCGGGAGATGCCAGCGTTGCAGGCAGCAGCTAACTGCTGCACCACAATACCAGCCCCCAACAAAAAGATCTATGCATAAGGGATTGGCGCTGAGGCTTAGCAGGTAAAGCTGCCGCCTGTGGTGCTGGCATCCCATATGAGTGCCAGTTCAAGTCCTGGCTGCTCCATTTCCGATCCAGCTCTCTGCTGTGGCCTGGGAAAGCAGTAGAAGATGGCCCAAGTCCTTGGGCCCCTGCACCCACGTGGGAGACCTGGAAGAAGCTCCTGGCTCCTGGCTCCTGGCTCCTGGCTTCAGATTGGCACAGCTACGGCAGTTGCAGCCCATCAGGGAGTGAACCACCGGATGGAAAACTCTCTTTTTCTGCCTCTCCTTCTCTCTCTCTCTAACTCTAACTTTCAAATAAATAAATAATTTTTTTAGAAAAGATCTATACACAAATATTCACAGCTACTATATTTATATTAGCCACAAACTGGAACAATACAAATGTATATTGATAGCTGAATGGATAAGTTATTCATGATATAGCCATTCAGTGGATCATACTAAGAATAAAAAATTACTGATATCTGCAAAAACATGGATGAATCTGTGAATGGTTATGACCAATGAAAGATGTCAGACCCCCTAAAATGTAGATGCAATATGATCCCATCTATATTAAATTAACAAAAAATAATCTTTAGTGAGAAACAACCTGGTAGATGGTAGGGGGCAAGGGGAAGAGTGGAGGAGGGCAGTGGAGAAAGATTGCAAAGGAGTACAAGGAAATTTTTGGGATTGACAACACATGTTCTTTATTTTGATTATAGTTTCATGTGTGTATTCATATGTAACAATGTGTGATATATTCTGTCTTAATTATACCTCAGAAAAGCTGTCAAAACTATTTGTCCATGTTTCACTTACAATAAATCTCTTGAATCATGCATGATTTTATAATATGGTATACTGGACATTTAGAAATATCCATTTACTGTTATGCAGATCTTCCAAATTTTGACACATTTCATCCTATCAAAAATTTTAACTCCAAACTCAGCAGAATATAAGTATTTGGAAGATGCCCAGACCAGAGTGACAATATAGCTTTTACAAAATTATTTTTGCTAGAAAGGCCAGTTGTATCAGTGACAACACGTAGATGTCTTCCTTGAACTGATGGTTTCACCATATTTAATTTTGAGAAAATATTTGTCAAATACCCAACTCTGAGTAACCTACTTGCCAGTAGACCTTTTAGTAAAAATGGTGTTCCATGACAAAAGCAGCTGCTTCAGCTCCCAGCCCAGTCATTTTTCAACTGTTTTCTTGAGGAAAAGCACAGAGGAGTACTTCGGTATACAGCAGAAGTGTCTTATGATTACTTCTTGTTTTTTCGTATAGAATATTTTTTTTATTTATTTATTTGAAAGAGTTACAGAGAGAGGTATAGAAAGAGAGAGAGAGGTCTTCTATCTGCTGGTTCACTCCCCAGTTGGTCACAACTGATGGAGCTGCGCCGATCCGAAGCCAGGAGGCGGGAGCTTTTTCCTGATCTCCAGAACCAGGCCAGGGCATTAACCCACTGCGCCACAGCGCCAGCCCCTTGTATAGAATATTTAAAAGATGTGTTTTCAAAGGTATTTCATGACATTCATAATTAAGGCCATTCTTTTTTGTTTGGTTTTTTTGTTTTTAAGTTTTATTTTTATTTTTATTTATTTGAGAGGTAGAGTTCCAGAAAGAGAGAGGGAGAGACAGAGAGAAAGGTCTTCCATCAACTCCTTTACTCCACAGATGGCCACAACAACTGGAGGTGGGCGCATCCAAAGCCAGAAGCCAGGAGCTTCTTCTGGGTCTCCCATGCTGGTGCAGGGGCCCAAACACTTGGGCCATCTTCTGCTGCTTTCCCAGGCCATAGCAGAGAGCTGGGTAGGAAGGGGAGCAGCCAGGACTCGAAGCAGTGCGTATATGGGATGCCAGTGCGGAGCCTTAACTTACTGCGCCACAAGTGCCAGTTTAAGGCCATTCATGTATAAAATGAAATTTTTTTAACTACAGGCAAATGAAGACTTTAAGGAGTACTCATTTGTGCCAGTGGTGTTTAACTTGGGGCAGTTTTGCCCCCAGGGGATATTTGGCAATATATGGAAACATTTTTGTTATCACAGCTTGGAGAAGAGAGTACAACTGACATCTGTTAGTTTCATAGCCAGGAATGCTGCCCAGCCCAATGTCCCATCCTATGAACAGACCACGTTTTATTTAACCACTCATCAAGTGGTAGACACTAGGGTTGTTATCACTTTGAGGCTGTTATAAATCATGCTGCCCTGGACATCCAGGTACAAGTTTCAGTTCAAACATGCTTTCAGTTATCTTGTGTACTATTTATGAGTGAAACTACTGGGTCATATGGTAACTCTACGATTAATGTTTTGAGAAACTACCAAACAGCTTTTTGAAAGTGGATATACCAATTTATATTCCCATTAGCAGTGTATGTCCAGTTTCTCCACAACCTTGTCAACACTTAATATTGTTTTCTAATACAACCATCTTAGTGGGTGTAAAGTGACATCACATTGTGATCTGTAATGTTTTGCTTTTGAACCGTCAGGCAAATGTTAACACAAAAAATGTGAATAAACTTAATATAATTGTGGAACTAGTTCTAACCTCATGACTCCTGAATGTGGCTGTAGATCATGTTTTGCGTAATGTAATACAGAAATTGTGACAAGAATTGATAGTAAGGAGATTTATCAGTTTACTATATCCCAAGGACTTTGCTAAGCACTTTATGTAATTTATCTCCTATAATCTGATTAACCATCTTCTAACATAACTACTATTATTATCTTTAAAGGTGGCAAAACAGACTCACGTAACTTGCTCGGTATCCCACAAATATTGCCCAAGACACGTTTTTATTTATTTTTTAAGATTTATTTATTTGAGAGACAGAGTTACAGAGATAGGAAGAGACAGAGAGAGAGAGAGATCTTCCATCCACTGGTTTACTCCTGAAATAGCCACAGCCACTGGAGCTGAGCTGATCTGAAGCCAGGAGCCAGGTACTTCTTCCAGATCTCCCATATGGTCTCAGGGACCCATGCACTTGGTCCATCTACCATTGTTTTCTCAGGCCATCAGAAGGGAGCTGGATCAGAAATGGAGCAGCCAGGACTCGAACTGGTGCCCATGTGGGATGCCCATGTGGGAGGTTTAACTTACTGCACTGGCCCCCCAAGACAAGTTTTTAGTCCAAATAGTCTGATCTTAGGCACTCTACACCTTCTCCCTCCTATCAGAGTGTTATGCCCCTTCTACACTCAGCCGCCACCCCTGGGGGAGGAGGGGGGATTGGCTACCAGCTAGGGGGAGGAGGTTCATGTTTGTTGTGATTTTTAAATTTTATTTATCTATTTGAAGGAGTGTGAGAGAGCTCCCATCTGCTGGTTCACCCCTAAATGCCCACAACAGCTGGAGGATAAGGTGGGAAGAAAATGGGCAGACCAGGCGTTGGGCGTTCAATCCAGCTTTCCTATGTGAGTAGCAGGGACCCAACCCCCTCAGCCATCACCACTGCCCTCAGGGTCCATATTAGCAGAAAGCTGGAGTTGGGAGCCAGAGCTGATTAGTAAACCCGCGGATTCCAAAGTGGGACATGGGCTTTGTAACCCCTGGGCCAAATGCCCACCCCTGGTTTTTAATTTTACGTGTGGCCTGAGAATGGTGTCTGACCTCTTCTGTGATTTAGACTCATCTGCAGCTCTTCCTAGGTCCCTTCATCCTGGCTTTATTAGTTTATGTCCCATTCCCTTTTCCCAATACTTTATACTACATCATCTGAGAAATGTTACTTTCTGGCAAGGAGATGGGATTGAGGAAGCAGGTTATTTAGAGAGACACGATCACCAGGCTACAGGAATCTCAGCCCAGAAGAGAGCAGGCACCAGAGTATACTCACTCAGGAAATTGGAAATAACCTACAATAGGACTCTTTATCTCTGCATGAATGTACATTAATACAGTCCTAAAAGTCCATCTTCAACTTCATCACTTTGGGTTACGCTTGGCTAACATATAAAAACTAAGATGCTCCAGAAGAAATAACATTGAGCTCTGGGATCTGTGGTTTTTAATTGCAGTGTGAAGCCAGCTTGAATGTAGTAATGAATGGAACAGAATAGCGAGCGGATAAAAATGGTGACTATTGTATGTGGTACGTACTGTGTGCCATCTCATCTTGTGTGTCTTGGGATGCAGTGATAACTAGGCAACTTCCCTGATGCAGCTTACCATTCAGAGAGAGAGCATAACCTTTAAAATGGCTAAAGCAAAATTTAAATTTTAATGCTGATAACTGAGAAAAAGAAAACACTGTTGCTTTAAGAGCAAGTAACTGAGGAACTCTCACTCACTCTGGAGGGCGGGATGGCCATGGATATGCAGGACTCATGTTTGGAGAGCACAGCGGACTGCCTCTCTGGACTTCCACCATGCGTAGGGCTAAGGCCACACATGCTTCTCCCGAGCTCCAGCCAGCTGATGACCAGACCTGGTGCCAGGCAGTTTAGGCAAGGTGAGGAACTTCTCTAACGGGCACTTCTAGCCTGAGAACTCGGCATGGGCCTGGCTGCATTCTTTGCCCTTCCGGTTCTGACTTCCTCCTCTTCAGTAGATCTCAGACCTGCATGGATATTTGACACTTTCTCTGTCTACTCTTGGTTCTTGCCCTTTTTCCTCCAGCAATGCAGGCCCCACCAATAAATCTCTTACGTGTCTCACCTAACATTGGCATTCACTTCGTGGATAACCTAAACTAACTGAGAGCGCTGGGAAATCTCCCTGAGGAAAGAGCAGAAGTTAGGTGAAAACTTGGGGAAGAAGGAATAGTCCCGTACAGACGGCTTGGCACAGTGCCTGGCGCAGGGCTGGAACGCAGTGAAGATGGCTTGACTTGATAGAATGCTGATGTTCTCGGTGTGGCGTGCAGGTATCCGGCATACACACTTGGACAAAGGGAGATTTATTAGTAACCCTGTTAGACGAACACCAAAACAGGATGAGCTGTAAGTTGCCCAAATGTCAGTCGTTTTAATGTACACCTAGTGGGGGCTGGCAGCATGGTGTAGCAGGTAAGCCGTTTCCTGCGGCACCGCATCCCATGTGGGTCCTGGTTTGTGTCCTGGCTGCTCCATTTCCAATCAAGCTCACTGCTGTTGACCTGGGAAAAGCAGCAGAGGATGGCCCAAGGCCTTGGGCCCCTGCCATCCATGTGGGAGACCCAGGTAAATCTGGCTCCTGGCTCCTGGCTTCGGCTTCAGCCTTCAAAGCCAGCGACCCTGATGAGCACCGGTTTGAGGACTGGCTGCTCCACTTCTGATCTAATGTTCATGGGAAAGTAGCAGAAGATGGCCTGAGGTTTGGGTCGCTGCCACCCAGGTGGGAGGCCCGGATGGAATTCCAGGCTTCTGGCTTCAGCCTGGCCACCAAGTCATTTGGAGAGTGAACCAGCTGATGGAAGATCCCTCTCTATCTCTCTGTAACTGCCTTTCAAGTAAAATAAATATTTAGAGAGTAAATAAATAAAAGCACAGTTAGTATACAAATAGGTTAGTTTCCAAACCTGATTATTTTTATGTATTATTTTATCAGAAGCAGACAACCAGGAAGTAAGCAAGCTCTTCTCCCCTGGTTCACTCTGGCCGGAGCTGAAGTCAAGAACTCAGCCTGAGCCTCCCGTGTGGGTGACAGAAACCCATTCCCTTGAGATGTCCTCTGTTGCTTCCCAGGGTGCAGATGAAATAGCAACAAAACAAGCACTTCCGTAGGAAATTCCGCTCCTTAATGTTCCTTCCCTTTCTGGGAAGGTTTTCATTCACTGAATCATTCATTCGCGTACCCCATGCATCTTTCAGTCAGCATATGTAGTGTTGAAGGCCTACTGCTTGACAGGTTCTGTTCTAGGCAGATAGGGAAGAATGCCATGTGTGGAGGTGGGGTGACAGGAATGACGTCCTGAGAATGGAAGAGGCAGCCGACGAGCAAAGGAGGCCAACATTCCAGACCAATCGAGTTGCATGAGAACAGGGTTGGACTTAAACGAGTCCCAGAAAAATATTATGCAGGAACTGGGTTTCATTCAAAAACATCGTTCCTCAAAATAAGCTATGAAAAGGACTTGGTGGGGGGATGAGTTTATTGTACAGAAAGGTGATTCTCATAAGTATCAAAATTTGGTGCCTCATTTTTTAAAATTTTCCAATTTGTATTCTGCCTAGCTTTCCACCACACACTCATATCTTAGAATTTTTCACTCAGGAAGCTCCACTCAGAGGAGAATATTTCGGGGTAATGCTCACCAGATGGCTTTTTCTATCTTTCCCAGAAAAATGCAAAGTAGGATTTGAAACTAACACTGCCACCTACAAGAAAGTACTTTGAGAAGAAGTCTGAGATGCCAGTCAGCTGGCAGGTGTTCAAGCTGCCAGTCTCTAAGAATAGGGCTTGGGAGTGGGGCTTCTGGTTTACATAAAATAGAGATGCTAGTAAAATCAAATAAGAAAAGTAGAAGAATTCTAAGTCTTGGCTGCATTCAGAAGCAATTGTCTGTTAGCCTGGGTATTTTATACCTCCGTCAGCTCAATTGTGCCAGTGGTGGTCCAAGCTCTTGGCAAGCTACTTTCAAATCTGCAGCTTAGCTTCCTTACCCTCCTAGGAATAACTGTAACATCTTCCTTCATGTTGAAAGTGTTAAATTCTGGGCCCTGTGCTGTGGCATAGTAAAGCCACCGCCTATAGTGATGGCAGCCATCTGGGCACTGGCAGCTCCATTTCTGATCCAGCTCCCTTCTGTGGCCTGGGAAAGCAGTGGAAGATGACCAAAGTTCTTGGGCCCCTGCACTCACGTGGAAACCCAAAAGAAGCTTCTGACTCCTGGCTTCAGATTGGCCCAGCTCCAGCCTTTGGGGCCAATTGGGGAGTGAACCCTCAGATTGGAAGACCGACCTTTCTCTGCCTCTGCCTCTCCCTAACTCTGCCTTTCAAATGAATAAATAAATCTTTTTTAAAAAAGAAAAGAAAAGGTTAAATTCTTAGTATTATTAGAGGGGATGCTGGGAAAATTAGAGTTGTGCCAGAGCACAGCCCAGATGGTGCCACGCTGATGAATAACCAATATTAGTCATCAATCAATCAGAGTAGCATCCAGCACTCTACTCAGCACCTGGAGAGCAATTTGAAAATGACATAGAAGAAGTATACGTGATGATAGGAGATGATGAAAAAATAACTTCAGGGCTGGTGTTGTGACCCAGTGGGTTCAGCTGCCTCCTGCAGTACCAGTATCCCATATGGGCACCAGTTCCAGTCCTGGATGCGCCTCTTCCCATCTAGCTCCCTGCTAATGGCCTGGGAAAGCAATGAAAGATGGCCCAAATACTTGAGCCACTGCACCTGCAAGGGAGACGTGGATGAAGTTCCTGGCTCCTGGTTTCTGCCTGGCCTAGCACTGTCCTTTGTGGCCATTTGGGGAGTGAACCAGTGAATAGAAAATCCCTCTCTGAAACTCTGCCTTTCAAATAAATATTTGAATAAGTATTTGAATAAATATCTATTTATTTGAAAGGCAGAGTTACCGAGAGGCAGAGAAAGAGAGAGAGAGAGAGTCTTTCATCTGCTGGTTCACTCCCTAAATGGGCACAACAGCCAGACCTATGCCGATCTAAAGCTTCTGGGTCTCCCACGCAGGTACAGGGGCCCAAGGACTTAGCCATCTTCCACTGCTTTCCCAGGCCATAGCAGAGAGCTGGATCAGAAGTGGAGCAGCGAGACTTGAACCAGCGCCCACATGGGATGCTGGCACTGCAGGCGGAGGCTTCCCCCCACCATGCCACAGTGCTGGCCCCAAAATAAATATTTTTAAAAAGAAAGAAAAATACCTCCAAACTGAGGGTAAAGATGGATGCAAAAATGAAATCAGCGAGAACAAAAAAGATATGTTCAGCAATCATAATGACATCCCTGGTGAAAATTTGAAAATAGGCCAATCATGAAATACTGCAAAGGATGTAGAACAAGACCCCTTAAATACTTCTGGTGACAGTAAATCATTTAAAACTCCTTTAGAAAACACTCTGGCAGTTCAAATAAAGTTGAATTCTATATACCCATGATGCATGGCTTTCAAAATTTGGTAGACCAAAATAGACATCTTTTAATTCCCATTTTCCATGAATTTTTTTGAAATACCATCATCCCCTGCAATCCAGCATTTCCACTCCTGAGTTTGTGCCCTAAAGAAATTCTCACCCAGGAGGCATGTACAGAATGTTAACACTGCATTGTTTCAAGCATTCCTGACAAGAAATTGAGTAACTAAACTGTAGAGCTTTTAAATTTTTGTTTATCTATTTAGTTATTTGAAAGACAAACTGGCAGAGAGAAAGGAAGAAACAGGGAGAAAGATATCTGCCATCTGCTCTTTCACTTCCCAAATGCCTGCAAAAGACAGGCTGGGCCGGCACCGCGGCTCACTAGGCTAATCCTCCGCCTGCGGTGCCAGCACACCGGGTTCTAGTCCCGGTCGGGGCGCCAGATTCTGTCCCGGTTGCCCCTCTTCCAGGCCAGCTCTCTGCTGTGGCCCAGGAGTGCAGTGGAAGATGGCCCAAGTGCTTGGGCCCTGCACCCCATGGGAGACCAGGAGAAGCACCTGGCTCCTGCCTTCGGATCAGCGCGGTGCGCCGGCCACAGCGTGGCAGCCATTGGAGGGTGAACCAACGGCAAAGGAAGACCTTTCTCTTTCTCTCTCTCTCTCTCTCTCACTGTCCACTCTGCCTGTCAAAAAAAAAAAAAAAAAAAAATACAGGCTGGACTGATGTGAAGCGAGGAGTCAGGAACTCCACCTGGCTCTTCCACGTGACAGGCAGGAACTCAAGTACCTGGGCCACCGAAGACTGCCTGCTAGGTGCATTAGCAGGGACCTGGTTGGAAGTGCAAAGTCAGGCCAGCACTGTGGGCAACCATATGAGCACCAGTTGAGTCCTGGCTGTTCCACTTCCAATCCAGCTCCCTGCTTTGAAAGCAGTGGAAGGTGGCCCAGGTACTTAGACCCCTATCACCCATGTGGGAGACCGGGATGAAGCTCCTGGCTCCTGGCTTCAGGCTAGTCCAGGCCCAGCTGTTTCAGACATTTGGGGAGTGGAACAGTAGATGAAAGATCTGTCTCTCTTTCTCTGCCACTCTGCCTTTCAAATAAAATCTTAAAAAAAAAAAAAAAAAGTGCAGAGTAGCCAGGATATGATCCGGACTCTCGGATATGTCACCATCCCAAACAGTGGTTTAACCTGCTGCGCCGTAACTGTAGTGTACTCATAAAATGAAGTGCAATACAGCAGTGAGGATAAATTACAGCTGCATATACAAGGGCACTTTAAAAAGTTCGTTGAAAATGGAATAAAAATACAGGGTTGTTTTGATGCAAAAAAAAAATGAAAGCTGTATACAAGGGATTGTCAGAAAGTTCATAGGTAATGCATATTATGAAAAAACTATGCACATGTCAATCATGGTATAAATGTATTTTTGTATAAATTTCTAGTTAGAAACCACTTTTCTTTTTTTAATTTTTCTTATTTGAAAGAGGGCAAGAGAGAGAATTTCCATCTGCTGGTTCACTCCCCAGGTTTCTGCAGCAGCCAGAGCCTGGAACTCAACGTGGGTCTTCCACGTGGGTGGCAGGAACTCGGGTACTTGCGCTGTCACCACTGCCTCCCAGGCTGTGCGTTAGCAGGAAACTGGAATGGGACGAAGAGCTAGTACTGAACCCAGGCACTCCAGTATGGGATGCAGACGTCTGACTGCTGTTTCTCTGATCAGAGGGAGGGAGCAAAGAGAAGCTGGGCTCAGCCCTCTTGGTCTCTGAGTCCCATAATGGCGCCTTCTCACTCCTCCAAGGCACCAAGAAGCCCACCCATGCTGAAACATTTCACCATTGAACACTGAGGTCCCCCCTGACTTGTCATCCTCAATAGTTCCTGATCCTTCCTCACAGTAACTGTCATATTGGTGTGGTCAGGAACTCGCCCACCGGGCGACTAGGTCTGGGTTTGACAGGCCAAAAAATAACTTTGGAGCCTTAGTGCAAATTCATACCTCTTTGTTCACAGCTGTGGGCTAAAATGTACACAGGAAAGCAACCATTTACCCGTGGTGTCCAACTGGACTGCAAGGAGGTATCTGCATCTAACCACACGCCTCAGCTTTATATGAGCTTACAGACAGTAGTGGCACCGAGCCAAACAGTTACTTAACAGGGCTGTGGGCAGCAAGCCAAGCAGGTGGGCCTGTTGGTTACCATGACATCAGTTGCCATAGAGGCACACAGATAAGGGGGCAAAGGCACAGAGGCATGGGAGCTTGATAAATTTTACTTATCGGCCTCATGTTCCTAACAATTGGGGATATTTGTGTGTGCACATAAATAATGCCCTAAACTGATTGGAGTTTATCTAGCAAGCAGCTGCTAGCATTGGTTCAGTAATTGATGCTATAATGTCCTCCTGTATGGTGTCAAAATGGCTGCCTTAGCTCCAGGCATGGTATCTGTCATCCACAAATAAATGTGTAGTAATTAATTATCCACAACAGCATAAAATTCTATAGTGTGAATATACTACAGTGTGTTGACTCTAAAAGTAAGCATTTGGGTTGTTTGCACCTTGGAGAGTTTGATTTTGTTTACGTTTTCTGTTTGTGCTAGCACACAAATATTTGCAATTAATGTTCTTTTACAAGTCTCCTAAAAGCACTAATTTCTGTACAGCCCAAACCTAGGTCTGAGTCATAGAGTATTCACAGTTCAGTTTTGTTTTATTATGCCCGTTATATATGTGATCTCCTATGATACATGTTGTTCAGTCCCTACTTTCATCCGCTACAGCAGCTGAGAAATGTGTCCGTTTCGCTCATCACTGTAGGCCCAGCACTGGTATTCACGTAACAGATGCTTACTGGACATCTGCTGGGCACCAGGCTCAAGCTGGAAACACTTACTTGAGCTTCCCTCCTCTCCTCTTCCTCCAGCTCGGCCCCCAGTTCTGACAGTACAGTTTGCTAGTTCAAAGCCACAACGGTCATTATCCAAGACACGCTCCCTTGATACTGGTTGGAAAGGGCTTGAGCCTCCCAGGGTGCTGAGCCACATGACGTAGCCATGCAGCTGGCGCCCGCTCTGCCTGGAGAGTAAAGCCCTGACTTTGAGCCCCTGATGCTCTGGTGCAGGGACAGCTCGCTCAGCAGCACGGAGCAGCCTGCCCGAGAAGCTGCCTCACAGGTGCTGACTGTGACTTCTCTCCCCGTACCTGTCCTCACACACAACTGTCCTTCCTTTTTGTCTGCACTCACCTGTGGCCATGGGACTGGAGGAGGAGTCCGCAGTCTTGGCTGTGAAAAGAGTGGCACCAGTTAGCTCTTTATCCGTAGATCATGATTTGTCTATCAAACTAACCCCAGGGGCCAGCACTGTGGCGCAGCAGGTTAATGCCCTGGCTTGAAGTGCTGGCATCCCATATGGACGCCGGTTCAAGAACCGGCTGCTCCACTTCTGATCCAGCTCTCTGCTGTGGCCTGGGAAAGCAGCAGAAGATGGCCCAAGTCCTTGGGGCCCTGCACCCGTGTGAGAGACCCAGAAGAAGCTCCTGGCTCCTGGCTTCAGATCGACGCAGCTCCAGCCGTTGTGGCCAGTTGGGGAGTGAACCATCCGATGGACGATCTCTCTCTCTCTCTTTCTCTCTCTCTGCCTCTCCTCTCTCTGTGTAACTCTGACTTGCAAATAAATAAATAAATCTTAAAAAAAAAAAAAAAACTAACCCCAAACCCCAGGCATTGCTGTTTGGATTGGAAAGATAACTGATACACAAGCCAAGGATGGCCCTATATGGGCCAAGCATGACCGACACCAGGTACTTCTGGGGTGGCTTCACCCAGTTTCTATCTGGTAACTTCATTCCTACTGTTCTCCAATGAGATCAAGCAGTCAAATTCTGTCCTCAATATTACAAATGGTGGATGAATGAAGAGAAGACAGATTAGTGTAACTGGTTCTACTATACTGCAGTTTGTGATCCTAGTGATATTGAACGTTGCACTAGGTCCTTGTGTAGGGAAATGTGTGACCTGAGGCAGCTTCCCTTGCACCAAGCCTCCGTCAGAGAATGGAATCCCGTTTTAGCAGCACCGGATGGCTGCACCGGCTTGTCATGTCCCCAGCCATCACGTTGTGTCATTGTCAAAGTTCTGCTTTCGTCCCCAGCCCGACACTGAGTTCCTCATGAGAACTTCCCTGTGGGTCCTTTAACCCCTGGCAGATTGCTGAGTGCACACACAGCGAAGTTCCCATGAGTATTTGAGAGGCAGGGTAACCTTGTAAAGTTGGCAGTAATTCAACATAAAACATTTTATTCAGCTATGAAAATAACATAACAGTCAAAATATAAACAATGGAAGGGAATCCACGTGCCTTTTTCTCTACACTCTCAACTCTTCTGCCCGAGGATATTTGTCAACAGTGTGTTGGGGGTTTTCCCAGACCTTCTCAAATACCCAGAACACTAATCTGAAGGGGCCCCCAGTACCTGTGATAACATTACAGGACATTTTCCTTCCATGTCTAGTTGCCCCTTTTGAATTTCATTCTACAAATAGAAGGAAACCTCCCACTGCACACCAGCACAACAGTGGGCTTGGCCAGGTGGGTACAAGGGAACAGAGTAATGGAAAAAAACTGCTGGGCTCACATGAGGTTGCTTCAGGCTGCGATTCTGGGTAGACCGGAATTCCTATTTTCAGGAAAAGGCGGTGTGTTTTGGGATCTGTTTTCCTAAAGCTTCAGGTTGATTCCCTGTTATTTAGCATGAGTGACTGCATTTGCTTTCAGTATGATGTCTGGGAACCTAATGCAGGGGCTCGGTCCCACAAAACAGCCTCTCCTAATTTTTGTTTACATATAAAAGTGAAATTACACTGTAAATATTATGCTGCAACTTGCTTTTTTTTTCTTGAAAGATTTATTTATTTATTTGAAAGGCCCAGTTACACAGAGAGAGAGGTCTTATTTCCACTGGTTCACTTCACAGATGGCCTCAACGTTCAGAGCTGGGCCAATCGGGAGCCAGGAGCTTCTTTCAGGTCTCCCTCATGGGTGTAGGGGCCCAAGCACTTGATCCAGCCTCTGCTGCTTTTCCAGGCACATTTGCAGGGAGCTGGGTCAGAAATGAAGCAGCTGGGGCATGAACCAGCACTCGTATGGGATGCTGGCATGCAGGCGGCAGCTTTACCTGCTATGCCACAGCGCCGACCCCAGCAACTTGCTTTTTAACTTCAACAATATAGTTAGTAGTCCTGTGTGTGTACATATAGTTGTTTATTCCTTTAAGTAGCTGTTTAGGGTCATAATTTATTTAAATGGCTTTTTTAAAGATTTATTTTATTGATTTTGAAAGCAGAGTTAACAGAGACAGACAGAGAGAGCTCTTCCATTCCCTGATTCACTCCCAAAGTGGCTGCAATGAGAAGAGATGGGTCAGGCCAAAGCTAGGAGCTAGGAGCTTCATCTGGTTTCTCAAGTGGGTGCAGAGACCCAAGGACTTAGGCCATATTCTGCTGCTTTTCCAGGCGCATTAGCAGGGAGCTGGGTCAGAAGGGCAGCAGCCAGGACTCAAACTGGCATCCATAAGGGATGCTGGCATTGCAAGCGGCAGCTTAACCCACTGAGCCATGACAATGCTGGCCCCTATTTAAATTATCTTATATGATGGGGCCAGAGCTATGGCATAGTGGATTAAGCTGCTGACCCGGCTCCTTGCCAATGCACCTTGGAAAGCTGTGGAAGACGGCCCAAGTATGTGGGTGCCTGCAGCCATGTGGGAGACTTGGAAGAAGCTCCTGGCTCCTGGCTTTGGTCTAGCCCAGCTCTGGCCATTGTGGCCATTTGGGGAGTGAACCAGCAGATGGAAGATTCTCTCTCTCTCTCTTTCTCTCTTTCTTTCTCTCTTTCTCTTATTTATTTGAAAGGCAGAGCTATGGAGAGAGAGAGAGAGAGAGGCAGAGAAAGAGGAAGATCTTCCATCTGCTGGTTCACTCCCAAAATAGGCACAACAGCTGGGTCTGGTCCAGGCTGAAACCAGGGACCCAGAACTGCACCCAGATCTTCCATGTCACTGACAGGGACCCAAGGACTTGGGCCATCTTCTGCTGCCTTCCCAGGTACATCAACAGGGAGCTGGGTTGGAAGTGTAAGGCCACCACAAAACACACCAAACACCGGTGTTAAAGAAAGGTTTATTGTCGGGTGGCGGAAGCCAACAGGCCAGAGGGAGAGAGAGAGCGCGCATGTGTGCGGGAAGCAGGTCCTGTTATGCTCTTGCAGGGAATAGGGAAGTGGGCCAGCAAATCCCATTAGGATGGGGGTGGAAAGCAGCAGAAGATGGCCCAAGTGTTTGGAGCCCTGCCACCATGTGGGAGATCCAGATGAAGTTTCTGAGTCTGGGCGTCAGCCTGGCCCAGCCACGGGCACTGCAGCTGTCTGGGGAATGAGCCAGCAGATGGAAGCGCTCTCTCACGCTCTCTCTCCTTCTTTTTCTATAACTCTTACAAATAAATTAATAAATATTTTTAAAAGGACAGCCTTTGGCCTGAGTCGCGGCTCAATAGGCTAATCCTCTGTCTTCAGCACCAGCACCCCAGGTTCTAGTCCCGGTCAGGGCGCCGGATTCTGTCCCGGTTGCTCCTCTTCCAGTCCAGCTCTCTGCTGTGGCCAGGGAGTGCAGTGGAGGATGGCCCAAGTGCTTGGGCCCTGCACCCCATGGGAGACCAGGAGAAGCACCTGGCTCCTGCCATCGGATCAGCGCGGTGTTCCAGCTGCAGCGGCCGTTTCGGGGCAAACCAATGGAAAAAGGAAGACCTTTCTCTGTCTCTCTCTCACTGTCCACTCTGCCTGTCAAAAAAAAAAAAAAAGTTCAAAGAGAATGCATACTATTAAAAAAAATGCATGGGTTTCAAAATTTTAAAAAAGACAGCTTTTATATGCAGTTCCTTGGTTTAGAAAGTCAAAAACAATACAATAAATTTAGATTTAGAAATTATGATTTATAATGTACAGCACCGTTGTTGACTGAGACAGTTTGCATGGGTAATCGTTTTTATCCCGACATATTTCAGTAGTTCACATGTGTTAAATCCGGTGATTGGGACCGGAGAAAAGCCTTGTCTGGTTCCTTTCCTCTTCTGACTTCAGCCACCTTCCCTGGCAGATAAGGGAACAGCCATAGCTGGACACGGTCTGTGCTCCTCGGAGAGCCTGTGGGACAAAAAACACACCCCCGCTGCTCTGATTCTCCTCGTTCTCCTTTGGAATCTATTCGTATGTGGGTGCAGGTCCTGGTCAAAAACACCTGGACTTCTGAGACTTTCAGTTTTGGAGGTGGACGCGCTCGAAGGGCAAGGCGGGAGCTCCCCTGCAGCAGTACAGGGCGCAGAGCTGGAGCTCCGTGGCTGTTGGCACTTGGCAGGAGCTGGATCTCTAGGCCAGCACTCGGAGAAGCCTTCAGACAGGCTTTTTCAGCACGGTACTGATACAGCTCACGTCTGATTTCAACTCTGCCACTTCTAATCCTGCAGTTCTGCAACCTTGTTGTTAGCGCAAGGCTTCACGGGACTGTTGAGAACATCATGGTTGACTCACCAGGTGTCACTGCAGGGTTGATGGAATGGGAATACTTCCTCAGTCTCCTTTCCCTGGCTCACTCTTTTTTTTTTTTTTTAAGATTTATTCTATTTATTTGAAAGTCAGAGCTACACAGAGGGAGACGGAGAGGCAGAGAGAGAGGTCTTCCACCCGCTGGTTCACTCCCCAATTGGCCACAACGGCCGGAGCTGCACCGATCCGAAGCCAGGAGACGGGAGCTTCTTCCAGTTCTCCCACGCTGGTGCAGGGGCCCAAGGACTTGGGCCATCTTCCACTGCTTTCCCAGGCCACAGCAGAGAGCTGGATCGGAAGAGGAGCAGCCAGTACTCGAACCAGTGTCCATATGGGATGCCGGCACTGCAGGCGGCAAATTTACCTGCTACACCACAGTGCCGACCCCTTTCTGCTTACTCTTACTGGGTGGCATGCAAATTTCTAGTGGTTGGTTGGGTTGTTCCTCTTTAAATGTAGAATAGCCAATTAAGTAGAAGAAACCACACAGACCAATGCATCATATGGAAATCAGTCTTCTTCTGGAAAGATCAATCAGGATCCCAGATTTGGTCATCCCCAGAAAAATATGAATGTGGCCCATAATAGCCTCCAGTAAAGAATGCAAAGGTAGATAAATGGGAGGTATATAAGATGAGAGAGGGAGTAGGAGGTGGGATGGGAGTGGAGTGGGAGGACGGGAATGGGGAGAAGAACCACTATATTTCTAAAAGCTATACATATGAAATTTGTGTTCATTAAATAAAAGCCTTCTTAAAAAAAAATGCAAAGAGTTTTGCCTCTCTTGGAGCCCCTTGTAGGCCACTCTGGTTGAAGGTCTCTAACGTAAATAAATCTTGCTTGTAAATACGTCTTGCTTTTCTCTTTGCCTTGTCCTCTTGGAAATTTTTCTTCCATGTGAGACAAAGAACCGAGGTCATCTCTTTGCCGCCACCATTTCACCAGTAGCACAGATCCCTGCTGACGTGCTCGAGGAAGCTCCTGGCTCCTGGCTTTGGTCTGGCTAGCTCTGGCCATTGCGACCACTGGGGAGTGACCCATTGAATGGAAGGCTTTTCTGTCTTTCACTCTCTCTCTCTCTCTCTCTCTCTCTCTGTGACTCTATCTTTCAAATAAATAAACAGTCGACAAGACCTTTCTAGTCAAAGTGATCAATTATAAAACACCATCAGCTGGGTGGCAGCATTGTGGCATAGTGGGTAAATCCGCTGCCTGTGATGCCAGCATCCTATATGGGTGCTGGTTTGAGACCCAGCTGCTCCACTTCCAATCCAACTCCCTCCTAATGAGCCAAGGAAAGCAGCATAAGATGCCCCAAGCACCTGGGTCCCTGCACCCACATGGGAGACCCAGAAAAAGTTCATGGCTCCTGGCTTAGGCCTGGCCCAGCCCTGGCTGTTGTGGCCATCTGGATTGTCCACCAGCATATACAAGATATCTGTGTGCCTGTGTGTCCGTGTGTATGTGTCCATCTCTCTCTCTAACTCCGCATTTCAGATAAATAAATTTTTAAAAACATTTTTATAGAGTAACATATTTTATAAAAAATACCACCAACTGCTTAAGAAAGTATCTGTGCCTTAATCTTGTTACCAAGATCAGAGCTTCAGTTCCCGCTTTGCCACCAACTGGTTCTATAAGCAAATGATAAACTCTCAGAGTCTCTTGCAGAACGGAGATGATAAAAATATCTACAGAATGCTGAAGATTTTACAAAGCACTGGATGTGAAGAAGCATTAGGCCCTAGCAAATTGTGACACTCATTAGATTTAGGTAAGGTAAAGGGAGGAAAAAAGGAAATTCATTTTCCTGGAAATGACATTTCAGCAGAGAAATAGCTCAGAGGCTTTGATCGAGAAGTGTCGGCACCTGTCTGAACCTCTGCTCACCTCACCCGCAGAGGGGAGAGAGGGCGTGAGGGCACCATTAGGTTCGTCTGCCTCAACCAGCAGTAGCCACACACGTTAAATGTTCCCTGTGTGGCCCGCGCTGTCCTCCCTGCTTTCTGCTGATTGATTGTCTGATCATCACAACACCATTGAGGCAGGCTTTGCTTTCTGTTCAGACCTGAAGGAGAGGTCTTTCTAAATTCTTTTTGTTTTGCCTTATTTTAATAATTTATTGACTTAGTTTATTCAGGGGCAGTTGTTCCTTTTTTGAGAAAGAAAATACAGAGAAGAACTCAACATTGGTTATCTAATGCCACATAACAAATCACCCCAAAACTTTCGCAACTCTGGAAAAACGAACATTTTTTATGTCACCTGATGTCTAAGGGTCCGGAAGCAGAGAGTGACGTAGCTTGGTGGTTGTTCTTCAGCCTCACGAGGTCATGGTCAGGCTGCTGGCCAGAGCTGTGTTCATCTGAAGAGGCGGGAGGGTCTGCCTCCGAGCTCACTCGTCTGGCTGCTGCGGGGAGACTTCAGTTCCTCACACACCCGGAGAGAGGGGACATGAAAGAGCCCAGGAGAGAAGCGGCAGTCTCCTAGTCTTGGCCACGACAGCTCATATTCTGTTTACGGGAAGCAAGACACCAAGTCCAGCCCCAACGAAGAGAAACTAAGCTCCACCTCCCAGGGAGGGAATATCAAAGAATTTATGAATGTATCCTCAAAACTACAAGGAGTACAAAGAAAGACAAAACGGTGGTGTGCTCCCTGCCGCAAATCGGCAATTATTACCATATTTTCCTCAAGAACACTTTCGATAAAAAGAATATTAGAAATATGCCCCGTCCCAATCCCCTTCCGATTCTCAAGACATAACAGCAGTCAAATTACGTGATGCATCTGCCCACTCTAAAATTTTGACATACGAATAAACAGTGAAAACAATGCATGGTATTATTTTGTAGTTTTTAAAAACTTTTCATAAATGGTATAATACAGGAAAGCAGTAGAAGATGATCCAAGTCCTTGGACCCCTGCACCCACATGGGAGACCCGGAAGAAGCTCCTGCCTCCTGGCTTCAGATTGGCGCAGCCAACTGGGGAGTGAACCAATGGATGGGAGACCTCTCTCTCTCTGCCTCTCCTATCTCTGTGTAACTCTGACTTTCAAATAAATAAATAAATCTTTAAAAATAAATAAATAAATAAGTGGTATAATACATATTCTGGAACTTCCTTTTTACGTTGAGTTTTGTTTTTGAGATTTACATATGCTGATACATTTAGACTTAGTTCAATATCCCACTGAGTAAACTGCTTTGAGTTCATCTGTTGTTGGAGATTGTCCCCTAGATTGTAAATCACCATTCTAATCAACGCTGCACCACGTAGCTTCCTCATGTCTCCTTGTAAGCATGGGCAAGCGTTTCTGTACAGCAGTGTTTCTTGAGTGTTTTGAGCCCAGCCCACGGAGAGAAGTTTCTCATTGTGACCGGCTAGAGACGTAACTGAAACCAAAGTTTCGTAAAGGAGATGTTCAACGTCCTCTGCTGTTACCTACTTTGAATCTTTTTTTGGACAGGCAGTTAGACAGTGAGAAAGAGAGACAGAGAGAAAGAGGTCTTCCTTCCATTGGTTCATCCCCCAAATGGCTGCCACGGCTGGCGCGCTGTGCTGATCCAAACCCAGGAGCCAGGTGCTTCCTCCTGGTCTCCCATGCGGGTGCAGGACCCAAACACTTGGGCCATCTTCCACTGCACTCCCGGGACACAGCAGAGAGCTGGCCTGGAAGAGGAGCAACCAGGACAGAATCCGGCGCCCCAACCGGGACTAGAACCCCGAGTGCCAGCGCCGCAGGCAGAGGATTAGCCTAGTGAGCCGCGTCGCTGGCCATGAATCTACTTTTTAGCATTGCCAGTTGAGACCCTCTGAATTGAATCTGGATGCACCACGGAGATCTCCATCTGCAGTTCAAAGAGGAGACTCGGAAGGCTTGTGTCCAGCCAGCACATGTTCCATGTTCCATGTTACATGTTACATGTTATGTGTGCCTGTTACAGCAGTTGAAGCTTTACCAGGGACTGCAGAATTGGCCTTCAAAGTAGTTGGGCCAATCTGCACCGCACGCAGCGACGCGGGAGAGTTCCTTTGTGCCCACAGCAACACCCACTCTCAATACTGTCAGATTTTTCATTTTTGCCAGCCTCATTATCAGGCCTCATTGAAGGGTGGGAAGAAAGCAGGCCTGCATGAATGTGCTGCTTCTGTGTAGGAGGCACAGATATGCCGGGAAAACTGTCTCCTGTGTTGGCCCTCCTGGAGAGTCCCTTGTAAAACAGTGTAAGGGAGAAGGGACGCTACCGGGCATCTCTCAGAGGACTGGTGTGCAAGGCCCCCTCCCTGGGGAGAGGCCCCCTCAATGCTTCCCCGCTTTGCGCAGGCCTGTACCCTCCCAGCTCCCTGGCACACAGCAACCATTCATGCTGCTTTGCGGGAACTCGAGGCATTACGTCCAGACTGCTGCTGCCCTCGCTCTTCCTGCTGCTCTCAGGGCGTGTGCAGCCCGGTACCCACATGGGAAAGGAAGCCCCCAAAGCCCCGTGTGAATGGGATTTGGAGGTGTGGCCTTTGGAAGGTGACTAAGGTTAGATGAGGTCATGAGGGTGGCACCCCCACGATGGTGTTAGTGACTTTATAAGGAGGGGAAAGAGAGAGCTGAGACAACTCCGTCTCACCATGTGATGCCCTCGCCCATGACACCCTAGCAAGAAGGCCCTCACCGGGAGCGGCCCCTTGACCTGGGACCTCCAGAACCACGCGCCCTTCCCCTCTGTAAGTTACCTGGTCTGTGGTGTTGAATGACAGCCCCAGAACACCGGCTACGGCCCCTTGCATCCTCTCCCGCTGCCCCGTTCCCAGCACGGAGACCTTCGCGCGCTCTCTCGGAGGGCCTGCTCCATCAGCCACCCTACCTTTGTCTCCCTCACCCTCTCTCCAGCACAGAAGCATGCTGAGGTTCCTCCCGGAGGAAGGACTCCCGTGGAGATCCTGCTCCTCTCTGACCTGTTCTTGCTCGTTCTCGGGCCCACACAGCACTTCCCCTCGCGGGGGTCCTTCATGCGCTTGCGCAGGGCTCCACCTGCCTGTATGGTCAGCGCCGATGGGCAGGAGACTTCATCTCCCTAGTACCTGCTGCAGAAGAGGCTCCCAGGACACATCTGAAAGTTAAGAAACCACCTCTAGCCGCAAGCCTCTTCCTCTTCTCCACGCCTGCACAGACAGGTGATTGGAAATGGACAGCATCCATGCCACACCCTCCCCCGCTGGACAAGCAGTGCTGGTGGCTCCTCAGCCTGCAGAGTAAGGTGCACTCTCAGCTTAGCACAGAATGGTCCTGGGCGCACTCCCTCCCACCCCCACCCCACCCCCAAAGCAAGATGGATGCAAACTCCCCTCGCTGATGTCTATGGTGGCCACCAGCCCGTGGTAGGGGGCGTGGAGGGAGGGAAGAGAGAGCAACTCACCTCAGTGTCTGTAGATCCCACCCATTTGTTGGTGCCATGGTGGTTTATCTCCTGTTCCTTTCCTGCCTTGAAAAAACGTCTCCCTCTCATCTCAGAGGGAGGGAATCTCACATTTCACTGGGAGCTCACGAGGTGGCAGGCATTAGTCTAAATGTTTTATTTACCTTTGCACTTTTTGTGTAGTTTTCTTCAAAACCAACGGGATATACTAAAGCATATATTAAACCAGATCAACATTATCAATCATGTATCAATATATGTCAAAATATACTGTATGTATGTCACCAGACAGAAGTAATGGGGTTCTTGTCTTCATGCAAGAAGGAATTCAGGTGTGAGACAGAGAGCAGAGTTGCAAGGTTTTTCTGGGGTCAGGGCATCCATCGGAATGGAAGGGACAGAGAGAGTGCCCGGTCACTCAGACCAGGGGAAAGCAGTTACGTGGTTAAATGGAGAGAATACAACTGGTAGGCCAGGCGGGCAGCTCAGTGGAGAGCAGAGGGCTGAGTGGCAGTCTATGTAGACTCAGGCTTATAAGGGCAAAGGGGTCCAGGTTTCTCCTTCCCCCTCCCCTCTTCCTCCTCCTCCAGGACAAAGGTCAGATGAGTGTCAACTAGGAAATTCCTCCCCAGGTTTGCTGGCACCATGCAGAGGGGCGTCCCCCTTAAGTGTGTGCCTGGGGAGAAGGATGTTTGTCCAGCCAGGTGGAGAGAGAATTCTCCTGGGAGCATTCCTTGAGGGGAGGGTTGGGGCCACCTGGAAGGTTATGGGGTCTGGGCAGGACTTGGAAGAGTGGCTGCTGGGCTGCTTCCAAAGTGGGCCTCTGCAGATGCAGATGTCCTCCGGCCCCTCCCCCCCCCCCACAGGCTAATTTCTAGCTTCCCACCTAACATAGATGTCAAAAATAAAAATGACTAAGACCAAAAATGTGGAATGCACCAAGAGAAAGGGAATGTTCTGGTGACTTCCATAATATGAGAAGATGCAAAAGGCTTGCACAGTGTATGTGCTTTGTGTTATGTGAACGTAGGCCCTGTGACTTCTCTGGCATGCGTGATAGTCATGATGTGCCAGGCTCCACATCAAGTCCTCGCCCACCCTGGCACTCTCCTGCCTTCCGTCTCCTGCTTTGCTTGCTCTTTTTCCCCTTCCTCTCACTCAATCCCGTTACGTTCTGCTGTTTCATTTTTCTCTCTGCCTATCTCGGAAACCCATCAACAGCTTTCTTGTTGCCGTTCTAGGCCAAAAAGGTTACTGCCCCTTGTCTAAGCGGATGTGAAAGCTCTCAAAGAGGAAGGCTTCCAGTCACGGGGTCTCGTGGTGCTGCTGAACTCGTGGCTGGAGCAGGACGAGCCATGTGTGCGCACGGCGCCGTAGACTGACCAGGCGTTCAGTTCCTCAGCTGCGGGCTTGTCCAGAGTTCTTTGCCGGGTTCCCAGTCACTGTGAGAATCCCGAGGCTCTCCTGTTTCCACTTCACACGGATGCCTTGAGACCAGAGATGTCCACCTTTCATCTGCACAGGAGAAGCTGCAGAGGGAAGTCTCTCTGGGGCTGGAAAGTGAGAAGAGAAACAGAAGTGCTCCTTTGCAGGGCAGAGGTTTGCAACGTGGGATATGGAGAAGTCACCGAGATAAGAGTGGCGATCCTACATTCTGCGCTTTGATGCCTTCCCGGAGAATGCTTCAGAAAACACAGCCCCTGGATGCGTCTTCCTCTGTTTGGGTTTAAATCAAAGCTGGCACAATAGGCAGTTCCCCCATTTGATGTTTTCTGATTTCTCCACTTGCAGGCAAACCAGAAGAAAGCGAGTGATAAATCATTCCTTTGGTTCAATTTGAAGAAAAAGGTATTCACTTATTTGCAAAACTTTTCAAGTGCTTTCTGAATACCAGACTCAATATTTAAACAAACCAAATCCTGGAGACCAAGCAGATGCTATAAATCATCAAAATAACTCCCTACTCCCCCTCCCCGCCAAACAAACAGGCATTAAAAGAAAATTAGTGTTGAGGAACAGAGCTGGTGGGTAGGTGGTTTATAGCTTGTAGGTTGATGATCTGACAACATTTTATCAGAGAACTTTGCTGACTAGCGAAAAGCAGTGGATTGCTAAATGCTGAGAGATTGTCATGAATACTTAAGGGGAAGGTATTGTTTTCTGGAAATAGGGCAGTGTTTGAATGCTGTAGCCCTACAGTTGTCTCATTCCTAGGGACAAACAGATCTGCACCTCTGTGGGGAAGCCTCTTTGACTTGATAAAGGCAATTCCATTCCTGCCTAGGCCTCCTCCTCCTCCTCAATCGACTCCCACCAACGTGAATTAATCGCTACCTTGTTGGCTCATTAGATCTTGGTGTCATTGTGATGTATGTGTTATTACAATGATAGATACAAAGCTACAAAATGCAATCTCTGCTTAATGAATTTGAAGGCTATACTTCGGAGATGAGAAACTTTGCATCATGCAGTTGATGCAGGAAATGAGTTTGCTGGCCTATTGCAGAGTCATTGGAGAGAGAAGAGAGGAACGCCCTGGGGCTTCGACCTCAGGGGCACCCTGAGCTCTCTGCTTGGTTTCAGGGATGAGGCAGTGGCAGAGGTTTTGCACACTGGACCATCACG